TCATGTCCCCCCTCGTCCTTCTCTTCATTAAACTAGACATACCCAATTCCAGCAACCGTTCCTTATATGTTTTAGCCTCCAGTCCCCTGATCATCTTTGTTGCTCTTCTCTGTACTCTTTCTAGAGTCTCAACATCTTTTTTACATCGTGGTGACCAAAACTGGATGCAGTATTCCAAGTGTGGCCTTACCAAGGCATTATAAAGTGGTATTAATACTTCACGTGATCTTGATTCTATCCCTCTGTTAATGCAGCCTAGCACTGTGTTGGCTTTTTTGGCAGCTTTTCATATTTAATCTTTCTTTCTAGATCAGTATTAATAGCCAAGTCAAACTTAAGGGAAAGGGGAAAGAAAGTTCTGATCAAAGCTGATTATGACGTTCAATTTACTACGGTACTCCAATTCCGTATAAGTAGGGTTTGAGAGCCAGTGTGGTGTGATGGTTAAAGGTGTTGGACTAGAATGGAGAAGACTGGATTTTAGTCCTGCCTTAGGTACAGAAACCAGCTGGGTGACTTTGGCCTAGTCACTCTCTCAGCCATAGAAAAAGGCAATGGCAAACCACTTGCGAAAGCACTGCCAAGAAGGCTGCAGGGATTTGTCATGTGGATGCCAAGAATCAAGACTGACTGGAAGAAAAAAAATATTGTTCACTCCTTTATCACCAGAACTCATGGAACTTCTGCTTTAATTGTAACTGGTAGGAATAAACTAGGGTCCAAAATTTGGATAACATAATAGGTAATAATGGTTAATTTCTTAAGCCACTGCAAATATAAAAATCATTCCTTTTTCAATCTTCCACCAGAATAGCACAAAAGTTGCAAGGAGCCATAGTATAAATCCACCAGATATTGTCTCCTCAGACTCTTGACTACAGTTTACATGATCAGTCTAAACTTAAATTCTGTGTGGAATTCAATGGACAGTGGTATTGTGCTTGATGCATCAAAAATAATTTCAGATTTGTAAAAAAAGCTTGCCGTATTTTTGTGGTAATGATTGCACTGCAATGTTGCTTCATTCATTGCTGCAATAATTAAAAATAATGAAATAGTTTACATAGTTACGGTAAAAATTCAGTTTATTTAAATAAATTTAACGAAGAGAAAGACTAGCAGTGTTCCAATATCTCAGGGGTTGCCATGAAGAAGATGGAGTCAAGCTATTCTCCAAAGCACCTGAAAGCAGGACAAGAAGCAATGGATGGAAACTAACCAAGGAGAGAAGCAACCTAGAACTAAGGATAAATTTTATGACAGAACAATTAATCAGTGGAACAACCTGCCTCCAGAAGTTGTGGGTGCTCCACCAAGTTTTTACAAAGAGACTGGACAGCCATTTGTCTCAAATGGTGTAGGATTTCCTGCCCGAGCAGGGGGTTGGACTAGAAGACCTCCAAGGTCCCTTCCAACTCTGTTATTGTTATTGCTATAAATGCATTGGGTGATTTCAGTTTATGTCTAATTAGAGAAGGATCATCATAGCCTAATGATAAAATAGAAACTCTGTGAAATCTCAGTGTTCCCAATTCAATTTCCAGCAATATATCTGACTGAAAGGTCAAGGAGATGTCAGAAACATTTTTTACTGAGGTCCTGGAAGGTACAATCTTGAAATTATGTACCTAACTTCTTTATGGTTTTTGAAACTGATAAGTACACTTGGCATAGCTTTTTCAGTATTTCTGCTAGTCACAATGTATGTTTATCAGAAGGTAAATTGTTCAAGGACTAAGCAAAAAAACTACTTGCCCTAGAATTTATATATGCATTGATGCCCAGAAAATAGAACAAAATTCACAGATGGTAACGACCTAATGCTTAGGAAAACATATCCACAGAGACATAACATGCATACTCCACTTTTCTCTGTCTCTAGGCAAAACATATCCACCATTCACAACTTGGACAAAACATGCCATGTGAAGGTAAGCCAGGAGTCTAATATTAGTACCACATATTTACTTCCAAAATACAATGTTAGGCCCCAGAAACCCAACTCTCTACTGCCCAACACTTCCTACAACTTCTAATGTAGCTTTATCTTTCTTTCCCTCTCACTCAGTTAAATAAATCCCAAATCCCTGAGCTATTATACTGGCAATTGTTATTCTTTAACAATGCCTATTAGGCCTAAGAGACACTGATACACATTCTTGAAAAAGAGACGAATCTGATATTGTGCTTTGCCAGTTTTTCATTAATCAAACTTCTGCCTGTTTTGAAGTCAACGAGTAAGGAGCTTGGTAGAAGAAGTGGGAAACTGAAGTTACATGAACAAATGATCTGTTATATTAAGAAATTTCTTGTGATCGTTTTACCACATTAACGTTTCTGGTGTCTGCACTGAAGTAATTTTCAAAAGCATAGTTTTACTGTCTTCATTTAACAGGATCATAGATAAAAAATGGAGAAAGCAACTCATGTCTTCTGAATAAGGCTGATTTTGAAGGCTGATTTTTGTAGTATCTATTAACCAAGGCCACCTTTATTTATCCATGCAGTAGAGGTATGCTCCAGTTAAAAATGATAGTTTGCTTTGAAATGAATGTGCCTGTGATTATGCTGCTGGGTCTTTAATGCTGACTACTGTTTCTTTCAAATTCTCACTTCCTCTTTCCTGACAAAGGAGGACAAAAGTGTTTGTTAATGTGTGTCTTATGTTGTCTAGATGTGATAGACACTAAAGAGCACTCTTCTTTGGGCCAATTGGTGTTTTTATCTTTTATGCTTTCTGTTTCTAAAATGTGCAACAAATTAGTCTTTGTCCGGTTCTTTCATGCTACACATACCTAGTTTGCCTAATTACAGTATCTGTGTCTCATTCTGTGTTTGATTTTTTTTTTAACCAATGACATTTTTTTCTAGTATATCTGATCGGTGAAACAGGAAGTATGCCTGTTTAATCAGTTCTCTAATTAAAAAAGAAAAAAATTGACATGTGCTTCTGACAGGTACAGTTATAAACATAATGCAAGAGGCTTTGTTTTAGAAATTAGATGGCAAATGTGTACTGCTTATTTTATCCACTGCTCTCGTAAAACCATAGAATTACTACTGGTGTTTGGAGTTTAAACAGAATTATGCCATAAACAGGGGGGGCAGTGTGTGGCATGCAGTGGAAAGGACCAGGCTAAGACCAGAAATACTTGGTTTCTGTGCCCATTCAGCCATTAAGAGTGACCTTGTAGTAATCATCACAGGGCTCTTGGGGAGATATTGTATCAGAAGGGGGTGTATGTTTCTGGGACGCATATCCTCTCCTGAATAAATAAAAGCAAAGAAGAAATGAAACGTAAGTAATAAATTCAGTCTTCAAATTAGCTGTTACATAACTATTTATTTTTAGAATAATAAGATATTTGCTCTGGGCTTCACAAGAGAGTCAAATTTAATAGTGAAAAGTAAAAAGGTCACATTGGAAAAATATAGTTTTGTGCTCTCTTTTCTGAGTTCAGTCTATGTCTTTATCCAGGAAAGTTAAATTACCTATAAGGACTTGAAATCTGCTGGTCTTGCTCAAATATAAGAACATGAATTCTTGAATAATTATCTTAAAAACTATTCACAGCTGAACATGTATGTGGAGAACACATGGAAACAAATGCAACATTTAGCGAAA